TTCAGTGACGTCATTCACTTTTCTGGTGTCCCATTGTTCCCAGACAAGCGTATACCGCTAGAAGAAGAAGAAGGCGAGCAAGAGTCATTGCAGTTCAAACTGCAAACCGGTAGGTCCCTGCGAAGGAAGGCGGTAGGTTGGAACACGATCTCTGCGTTGGTCGTATATAAACTAATCAGTCAATAGATATTAGTATCTATAACAGTGAAAAACTCTCTTTGTAAAGTAAAAAACATATATGTATTGAAAATAAATTGTAATATAAAATATAAAATGGTTATTTTACCAATTGTAATATAAAATATTTATTTTATCAAATGTTCTATTTCGAGATTTACAATATCTTTAAAGATAGAATGAAAAGATTAACTCTCTCTTTAATAACGAATATTTATCTGAGAATTAAATACTTTAGTAGCATTTAAAGGTTATTGGAAAGTTTTCGGATTCGATACGCTTTGATCCAGAATCAGTAGAGACCATGACCATGGTAGCGGTGATGTCATCTTCATGAGGGAGGGAGGAGAAACTTTCTCTTCCGCGAACTTTCGTACGCGGGCGGTATCTCTCTCTTTCTCTCTCTCTCTCTGATAGCATGGAGGTGTACATACATAGCGGCACCTTTCCATTCATGAATTCAGCCTGTCTTCGGTGGTGGGTATAGTTCAATAGCGCGTAAGAGATAAGAGCGTCACGTGAATGCGCGAGATTGCGTTTAGATCGAGAATATGAAACATTTTGTGCGCAATACACTTTACGATGACGTTAATTCTGATATTCTTCCGTAATATCGTTGTGCCATGTACGTGCAACTATGTACACGGGATCATTTCGCGAGATCGAATCGCTGTATATTGCTTATTGACACGTCGATTAATGTGCCAAAGAGGTGAGTCAGTGTACTTGCGCGGGACTTTACGACGTCTAGCAGATAAGAATCGGTGCATTGGCAAATAACGAATGAATCAGCGTTTTCACATTGCTGATGACATTTACGATCTAGTCGCGCAGCGACTTCAACAGTCAAATTACGGAAAGCAATAGAAATGCTTTCCATTTCCGGGTGAGGCATTTTTGGCTTGAGTCGAATATTCATAAATTTATTGTGTATAGGTCCTGGAAGAGCAGCGTTTGTAATAAAACAGTTTGATATTTATTTAAACATTAAAATTAAATATAAAATTAATAGAATGTATTACACAAAATGTCTTTGCGGTTAATTTTTTTTAGAATCGATTATAATACACGAATATCTGCACACGATCTACACACGATATATCAGGTTCAAAAATGGTTAATAAAAGTGGAAGGTATTATTTTGACGTCTTCTATAACATATCATATAACACACCTTTTGTAAAATATATATTTAGTCTTAATAAATTTTAAAATTATTCAGTGACAACATTTTTTATTTTTTTCATTGTCAATAACAGCAGTCATGATGCGCAAATATGTATACGATACATTAGAAAATGTCTAATCCAAAATATCATTGATACCTTCTGTAATTTTAATTTTAATGTAGGGCAGTTTATTCTTTTATTTTGCAAACGCTATTGATTTATTGCAATAGAATTTATTGCATTTTTCATAGATGGAAGGACTCTTTCTTTCGGATTAATCCTCGAAAATACATATCTATGTAATCGTAAAGTGAAAACGCATAACGCAGAAGGAGAAATAACGTATCGTATAGATATACGGAACATGGGTCCCCTTGAGTGCGACTTAAAGTAAAAAATAATTCTCAGTGTTCGGTGACTGCCCAAATATGTCTGATGCATTCTTCATTCGCAACGTACGGAGATGAATAGTAGAGTTTTATGATGACAGAATGACATTATCAATGCAAGCATGGTGGTCGCCGCCGTTTCGAACGCCTCAAGTCATTTCATTCTTTTCGATTATATCGTACGTCAACCGCTATCAGCTGTCATCCAACATTCTCAATATCTAATGGGTCGTGTTAATCGGTACAGCGATTATCTGCACCGCTGGTCGAAAGTTGACCAAGACACCGACTGAATTAGGTCGCTCGTGGCTGCAATTAATAATGGGATGACATGTCCATTAGTCCAGAGTCGATGCAAATCTGTCTGGATGTCCTATTGATAAATTTCTACTCCAGATGTATATATGTATGTACACAATTTTAATAAAGATTATTTATAAATATTGTAGCTTTATATTTACAAAGATACACTCGATAAAATATACATCTCGAACATACTATCTGCTTCGCTAATAAATAATCTTTGAAAGAACGTATCTAATATCTGAAATATTCAACAATACTTTGATAATACAATAGTTTGATAATTAAAAAAATTTTTAAATATAAAGGTAAATATTTGAATTTTTTTTATAATCAAATGTAAAAATATTTCTGTTTTACATAAATTGTTAATAACATAATTACTCTTTATTCTCATTAATGATCATTTTTATTGCAGTAATAAAATGCAATATTATTTCAATCGAGCATAAGATATTTTTCATCATAAGAATAGTTGTACTTTTAATTGGCACCAAGAAAAATTCCGACCTACGTAACATTAATCGACGTAATATATCATCCACTTTGCGACAGTGGAAGGTCGCTTGTTATGAAAACGTATCGTCATAGAATTTGTTTGAAAAATCCAGCTGGTAGACTTTCTTCTGTCTGTTGAAACGTGAGTAATTTCATCATTTTACGCTTTCTGTTGTAATATGCGAGGCGTGCCGAAGTGCTAAAAATAGATGAAAATTAACGCCGCTTTTCTGCAGGCTGCAGGCATCCCTAGTTGTATACTTCGAGTTGCTTGCATGAATGAACGGCTTATCACGGTTCGGTGAAGCATCCTTGCGTCATCGTCGATACGACGTCATGATGACGTTGTATGGTCGCGTATAAATATTTGCTCCCGATCGATTCGGATCTTCCGGGAAAAGATCCGCGCACGCCCATTTCACATCACCATAATTGGAAGAGGATCGACCGGAAGTAAAGTATGACACACTTGTTCATTTCCGACTTTTCACGTAAGACGCAAATTATCGTCTATCTGATGATCTTAAGATACTCGTAGGAAATCCCCGACTTCATAGCGAAAGAATTTGTCGGCGGTATTGCATGTAATTTTGTTGGATTCGTGCTATTTTTAACTTCCCAGCAATTCTTAGCGTCAATAGATACCATACTTTATGTTATATAAGGACTATAATTATGATATTTAATTTTACAATACAAATTTTTCATTTACCAAGAAGAAATACTTTCTTTTGAAAATTATATCACTTTATATTTGTGAAAAATAATATTTATGACACGATTTCGATTTTTTGTATTACAAATAATGTAACGTAAAATTCATAAACAGTTATATATTTGTGCGCTTTTTCTTCTGAATAAATTTCGCGATGATTACAACATGATTACATCCTATCACCTTTGCATGATAATACATTTAAGCGCGTTGGCGAAAGTTCGCAATGAAGGCTATAATGATTGCGTTTAAATGCATAAGTCACTCGTAAAACTAGCCGGAGTTGTATCGTCGCCGTGACTACGTAACGAATCCCATGATAATGTCTCCGTAAAGCACATGTTTAAAGCCTTTTACGAGGCTGATAAAACGATGGATGCAACGCGTGCGAGCGAGCGCGCACTCACGCTGTGAAACGAATTAATTCCAGTCGCGCCGCAGACTGGTTACGATACACTAGCGGTCTTGGCAATACACTTGACAGTAGCCGCGATCCTTCACGATCTTCACAATTGATCGGAGAGCTTCCGTGAGACTCCTCTTCAATACAACAGGTCGATTCTTCGCATGGCAGAATACGAGTCATGGGCGCAGGGGCGGATTCACGCGCAGATAATAACTTCAAGATTTACAATCGGATATGAATCAAATATATATTTATCGCTCAAGTTGTTGCAATAAAATTAAGATATCGATATATAATCTTTTGGCGTATTTTATTATTCTTCCACGCAAACTGATAATTGGAGTTTTATACAATAAAATGATAAAGCATAAAATATCTTGTAAGAATAAATATTAGATAAAAAGAAATAATAAATAATTTGTCTAACAGCATTAAGTTTAAATCAGTATTTGCCAATATTAAATGACAGGAAATAAATTAAATTAAATTATTAAATTAAATTATTTAAATTATTATTAAAAATTATGGTGTATATGTTATTTTTTACAGGTCATTCTGTAGTGATATTTGTGCGTGATATTCGGATACGGGAATATCGGTTGTCTTACATGGTGGCAAGGCTATTTTGAAGATTTTTGCAGAAACTGTGTGTACGTGTCGCATATCTGTACCGACAGCGGTGAGACTGGGTCATCGGTATTTTCGGGTCAAGTGCATTATGATAATTGTAAAATAACGAATTTATAATTTGTGTAAATGATACATGATGGCTGCGGCCCTGCAAATTATACGGCATGGCAAAACAATTTCTGTCTGTCATTTTCTCGCGCTCACCGCTCCGCGCAGTGGACCCCGTTTTTTGCGCTAATCGTCGAAATTATCCTCGTGAGAAAATCGCGAAAAACGCTACGCTCTCGCCCTCCTCTCGCTGTTCAGGTCTCCTTCTTTCTCCTCGATTTCTTTTCATCCTTTCCTCAGTGCCGCCTCTACGAGAACGAATACGCATAATGATACATCATTTTGCGGGGATTCCTTCTCGTCTTGTTACTCATCGTTTATTGGTACAAATATTACAGACGCCGGATACAAAAGCGAAGGTAATGACTTTGGTCAAGAATGTTGATGACACGAAGACAATGTTTGTTTTCACAAGAAATGCCGGCCCATCCCTGATATTATCTTAGCAATCTGTTCTTTTGTCTCTATCTTAATTGCACGATCAGGCTTCACGTCACTTCGATTGATTGACAATGAAACAACCGAGTTTATTCTAGATTCCATACGAGAGTAAGATGGCACCAAACGTCAAAATCTGACGTTAACTTTGTTGTTTTTCTTTTCAGGGCAGAGCCGGGTCTTCTCCACTCGTTTTTTCGTTTCGTTCACGGATGTGGGCTGGTTGTAATTACATGGGACCCGCCGACCGACAAGAGAAACTCCCACTTAAACATACTGTGAGTATTAAATATTAATATGTATTTAAATAAACCTGTGCAATGGAATGGAGGCGCACCTTCAACGGGCCTAATCTCTGGCCGCCGAGCTTCGTTGCATCGCCGAGTCCGCGATGGAGAGTTCATGCAAACGTACACCGTGGTATTTACTTACTTTTCTCGTTGCTTACTGCACTGTTGCTTGCGGAAACGACGTTTAGAACGATATTAGAGATTTACACGTCCTTTCTCGTTAGGAACTCAATATTTTTATCACCCAGGACGTGATTTTACGTGGCAAGCATGTTAAATAACGGCGATGAAAGACGCGTACATGTTCTTTAAAGCCTTAAGGTAGATACCAGACATACGGACCTATACCAGACATAATAACGAACAAATAAACCGAAGATATGCATGTCATGAAATAAAAAGAAAATGATTCGTATTCGCGTTTGCGACATATTCTTTTCGAATTCGAAAGTACACGTTTTATGCGAAAAATCGACTAGTCATCCTTCGGCAGGACGATTGCACGCGATGTTGGGCACGCAAATTGCGCTCAGCAGTGACGTTCTAGGAAAGACCCTGATGGTCTCACGGAATGACGTGCAACCGTGAACAATAAGCAAAATAATTGCATTATGTAATTAATTCGAGATCCAATCTAAGGATTTCCCCTAAGTAATATTATCGTTATTTAGTGTTAAAGGTAAACAAAATCATTTAATTTTTAATTCTTTGACGTCAATAACAATTTGTTGAATCGTATTAAAATCCGTGATACGTATTTTTTTCAAACTCCCCGCAATTATATTAATTTAGCTCTTGTTTACGATTATTCTTCTAAATCGTTACTTTGCAATAACTTAATATGTTTACCATAATACTATAATTTTACAATTTAGAATGCGTACATGTATTGTAAAATAAATCGAAAAATGATTAGTATTCGTAATGCAACATATATAAATGAATAATTAAAAAAATTATTTTGAAACTTTGTCGTTGAATTTATCGAATAAAGCTATAATTATAGCTATAACAACACGTCGAGATTTATCTCCAAGTCATGATTAATTTCATGTGATGTCAGCACTTAGATTCTTATCCTCATTTAGCGCTGTATGAGGTTGTCTGATTTTGAATTTATCGAAAATATAAAAAATAGTTATTGATATAAACAGGACATGAACGATTAAATAGATGCATTCAGCGTTAAATATATACGGGAAATGTAGAACTCAGTTGGAGTGTATGACTGATTAATAATGTAAGATTTCTCTTAGTCAACGTTTGTATTGCAAGGAAGAAACGGAAACGTAAAGTCAGCTGGTGGATAATCGGAGAAAGTCGATTGGGAAATTTGCCAATAATAGTTGGTATTTTACTTTTTATTCTGTATTTCCTGAAACACGATGAACAACAAGAATAATAGGTGTAAAAACAATAATTGGTAGCAAATGACAGATTGCCGATTCAATTCGAAACTATTGATTTTCTATCTAGATATAGTTAGTATTCTTGGTGAAATGCATTTGTTAGATTATCGACACTCAATGTGTGTTTTTTATTATATTCTATATTAAACACTAATGCTTATTCTAGAAACATCGAACGATTGTTAACAGATATTCTTTATCTAAGAACTTTAATTTATAACTATCTGATTTAAAAAAATATAAAATCGGATAGAATAACTAGTTTCATAAGTTCGATTCTAAGCTCGATCTCATTATTAACGCAAAAGAATATGTGTGTTTGTATCTTTTATTAATCACACAATTTAAATATATAATATAGACTTGTTTAAACGTATTATTTTAATTCAAATATTATATTATCTTTTAATACATATACGTGTATATATTAAATAATTCTTTTTTTACATTATTTAAGATTGTATTTTAGCATATATGTAGATTGCTGTGTACATATGTAGATTTTTATCTGTCATTCGATATAAATTTCATAATAGAAGAACCAGGAACATAGTAGTAGTAACTTCTTTAACGTCTGGCAAATATGTATATTTATGAGCGGCTACCACTGCTCTCTAAAATACCGATCTATATAAGCGCCGATATTCTAGTACCCTTATGACGATCGTAGATGATATTGATATGCCTTGCAGCATACATCCGCATAAATGAATCCGGCTAAGCTGGTGGCCAACAAAAGCGAAAATCTGGAGTCACCTACAATCCCGGTAACCTTCTTGCCCACTGCAACACTCTATAGCGAACGATCATGAAATGTGAACCGCTGTGTGTTGCTGAAAGTATGCGCCCGGTAAAGCAAGGTAGTAGCATTGATTCAGAGATATGTAAATTAAGGCCGGCGCACCGGAGTATATAACAGAATAAAAGAAAAGAATGCGGGAGAAAGAGAAAGAGAGAGAAGATGCCTTCCTGGCGCGAGCAAGGACTATGGGATGAACTCGGATAAGAGCGCACTTTATTGCTAGGATGCGCCCACGCAAGCTTATTAACCTGCTAACCGTGATATCACGTCATTAAAATTTTATTTTTTCTTTTGTTAGTCGATTTTATTCGATGACCTGTCATCTTCATCAACATCGATATTAATTTAATATCCTGGAAATATTTTTGTTTCCAGGTCTTTATTTCTTATAATGATGGGGAAACTAATTCTTTTATGCAAAATATTATAATTAAATTATAAATAAATAATTATAATTAAATAATTATATTTATATAATTTATACAAATAATTATATAATTATAATATATTTATATAATTTATATAAATAAATAATTATATTTATAATTAAAATTTTTAATCCTATAAATAATTAAATTTTTAATCCTTTAGAGAAAGACAAAAAAAAAGAAATAAAAAGAGATTTCGGTATAAAAAATGTAGTCTTAAAAAAATTGGTATAATTATTTTAATATAAATATTTCAGAGATAACTTTTTTATATGAACTTTATATAACTTTTATATGTTTTATAAATAATTTCCAATTCAACAATGTAGATAGTTTATCAAACAAGCGTTCGTTAAAAAGAAATACATTCTTCCTTTGTTACAGTTAAAAAATATGTGATCTAGAAGTCGTCCCATCATTTATCATGTCGTTACGTTAAACTCGAACAGCATGAGTGCCGATCAATTAAACTAGCATCAATACGTCAGATCCATTGACAATGCGTGCAAAAAGAGCACGCGTGCCGAGCCGATACAGGCTGTCGCCAGCGTGAAATATCGTAGTGGCGTCGATTTTTACGCGTCAAAGGGGTTTTATTTTCGCTGCCGGCACGACGACCTCGAGAAAACGGACGGCAACGGCGAATCTCATTCTTATAACGAGGCAACCTCCGACGATCGCCAATTGCCGCTGGTGGAATAGGTGTTACGCTCCTTCCTCTCACGAGTGTCGTAGCGGGAGTTTACGGGCCGACAGTTATTTGTGCGCGGCCCCTGGGGCGAGGGACGGTCGGGACGATCGAGAGGGCAGAGAAGACAGAGGAGGGTGCAGCACGCGTGCACACCCCCTTACGGTATAGCCCCGTCCGCATTCTAGAGATTCTTGAAGGAGTAAATACAGTCGCGCGCGCGCTCATGCAAGCGCATTGTACTCGTCGCCGCCGGCCGATTCTTTCTCTCTTCCCTCCTTCTCCTCGCGATGTATCCCTCCTCATCTGCCGAGGTTCCCTGCTTCCTTCCTCCGAGTTCTTCTCCCTGTGTTCCTCGGGCTTCTTTTCCCCTTCGTCGCCCTTGCCGCGATTACACGCGAAGGCAAACACGACGCTGATTTATCTGCCGCTCTCAGCGGGGACGCGCGCGTAATTTACTGCGACTTAATTGCATTTAATTCAAGCGGCGCAACTGTAAATCACAGAGCGTCGCGCATTGCGCGGGTCAGGAACGCCTGCTGTCGATACGATGTAATTACATCCGTCCGCGCGAGTCCGCGAGGATGCGATGCCGCTCGGTGCTCGTTAACGGATGATGAATTTTTCTTTCCTGTTGATGCGCCGTTTGGTCGCGCGCGGCGTCTTGGAAGCGATTAAAATCTTCGGATTATTACGCGGCCCGCGTTTGCGCTCTGCAGATAACTGTCGCGCATTTTAATTATCTAACACATGGCAGATTATGTCACGCTCTCGCAACATTTTATTAATAAATCTGACACATATAGCGTAAAATATTAAGCTTATATATTGGTGTGCTAAAATATTATACAGGATTCTCTTTCTAATCTTGTATTTTCCGTACATTTTATCTTATATTTTATAATATATTCTCAAAAGATAAGAATTTTTTTAATGGTAAAATAAAAATGCAAGATGGGAATAAAACAACAGTCATCGATTATAATTATTGCGAAAGTTTAAGAAAATCCATTCGGTAAATAAAGTTTTAATCCTACAATAATGCAGAATTAAACAAGCATTTTAATACTGATTTTGTCTTATAGGAAAAAATAAAAATATGTTATATTAAATATCTTTAGACGATTTAAAAAAATTTTTAAACAGATATATTTTTGACTATTTTATGGAAAATTAAAATTTTATTTATTTATGCATTTAATATTAATATCAAATACAACTCTGTTTTATAAATCTTACATGCATCAACGCTGCTTGTTGGCAAGCTAGAGCTTCAGGTATCGCGGGCAATGAAGATTCGCGCGATGAGCAACGACGTAGCTCAGCGCGCTTATTAAATTTGCATATTGCAATTTATAGCACGATGCACGGACAACCACCTCCGATCTACGATAGTATTGTCCCACCACTCTGAAGAGAATCGCACACCGTCGTGACACTCAACAAAACCTTGTTATAAAAAAAATATATCGTGCTTTGATATCCGGGCAAGTTTTCTCGAATTTTGAGCGGTTTTCTTATCGGTTGTTCGCGAAAGCGAATTGTGGCGAGCGGGCGACAATAATTTTAAGGCAGTCTCCTCGTAAATCTAGTCAGCGAGAGAACTGGTACCGTACCTCCATTATGCGCCAATTTCTCTTATGGGCAAAAAATGTTGCGAT